GTATTCCTGCCATTACACATGGTGAAAGGTTAGGGGAAAAGGCTGGCAAAATGCCTTACTAGAAATGCAAATGGGAAATCGAACAGCTTCATCTGGTTTGCTCACACCTAGGTCTACAAGGGCTGCTCCAGACCCATGCTGCCTACTGACTCAGCCATAAAAAGGAACACAGTGGTGCCTTCCTGATGCCAAGTCCTACCGAGCTGCTGCTCAGAGACCCTCAGTGTGAAAACCAACACTGCCCTTCATTGGCGCCCTTCTTCTCTCTTGCTGATTCTCTTATTTTCTTTTCTTTAATATCCTAACAGCTTTATCAAAACCGTGTTGCCATTGTCTATGTCTACAAATGCCCAATGCAGGACCCCTCTGACAACATTAACTTGGCCACCTCTGTCTAACTGTGGATCGGAAGCCTCTTCTCTGTTAGCTGGTTTAAATGTAGCCCGTGCAAATTATTCGTGATGTGAAAAGAAAGGTTTTTGTTTTACATAGTCTAATTTTTATCTATGAGAAATGTCTTGTTCCTTTCCACAATTTAACTGTGTATTAATATATACAGACTTGGGCATACATAGTTATACATGTATTTTTAATTGACTAAAAGTTGCCCTGGATCATGGTAGTTGTTAATATAACATTTTGATGTTGTTATAAAAAACTAGCTGGGGGGAGGGATATATTAGGAGTTTAGGATCAACATATACACAGTACTGTATATAAAATAGATAACCAACAAGGACCTGCTGTATGGCACTGGGAACTCTACTCAATATTTTCTAATAACCTATAAGGGAAAAAAATCTGAAAGAATAGATATATATGTATGTATAACTGAATCACTTTGCTGTACACCTGAAACTAACACAACGTTGTAAGTCAGCTAAACTTCAATTTTTAAAAACTCAGAAGAAAATAAATTAAAAACATAAAAACAAGCTAGTGGCAAACAGTTTGGCAGTTCCTCAAAAAATTAAACATAGAGTTACCAAACGACCCAACAATTCCACTGCTAGGTATATACCCATGAGACATAAAAATACACATGCATGCAAAACTTGACCACAATGTTCACAGTCACATCATTCAAAATACCCCAAAACTGGGAACCCCTAAGTGCCATCAGCTAATGAACAGATAAACAAATGTGGGATGGCCAGACAATAGAATATTATTCAGCAATAAAAAATTATGAAGTACAGACACCTGTTACAACATGGACCAACCTTGAACCATTATCCCACGTGATAGAAGTCAGTCACAAAGGACCACGTATTATAGTGATCCCACTTACCCAGGACAGGCACATTCATGAAGACAGAAAGTGGATTGGCTGTTGCTTAGGGGGGCGGCTGGGTCCAGCTGGGGGTGATTGGGTAGCAACTGCTAATGGGGACAGATTTCCTTTCTGTAGCTAATGTTCTAAAGTGTGGTGATGATCGCACTCTGAATATGTTAAAAAGCACATAACCGTACCCTTTAAATGGGTGTATTTTATGGTATATAAAATTATCTCAATAAAACCGTAAAGAAAAAATACCTAGCGTCTTAGTCTGCTTGGGCTGCTATAACAATCTACCACAGATGGGGGCGCTTAAACAACAGAAATTTACTCCTCACTGTTCTGGAGGCTGGAAGTCCAGGATCAAGGCACAGGCAGATTCAGTGTCTGGCGAGAACCCACTTCCTGGTTTGTAGACGCCCATCTTCTCTCTGGGCGGAGGGGCGAGAGCTGGCGGGGGTCTCTATTATAAGGGTGACATCACCTTCCCAAGGCCCCACCTCCTAATTAGCAGCACACTGTGGGTTAGGTTTCAACACAGGAAAATTAGGGAAACACAAGCATTCAGTCTATAGCACCTGGAACACTCATGTCAAATACTCTGACTTAATATTCAAGATCGACTTAGTGCAAAGACCTGGGTTCAGATCCCAGCTTTGTCACTAAGCAGAGTGTGCCCTGGGCAATCACTTAATTTCTGTGTCTGCTGCTTCCTCCTTTTATAGAAAGGAAGATTGATTTCACTAGTGACTTGAGATCAAGTCCAACTCTACCACCTAGGATTCTGTGGGTATTGACTTTCACAAAAGCAGAATAAGAAAGATGTTGTGTGATACAGAGAAGATGGCAGCCAGGAATAAGACAGGAATAAAGACACAGACCTACTAGAGAATGGACTTGAGGACACGGGGAGGGGGAAGGGTAAGCTGGGACAAAGTGAGAGCGTGGCATGGACATATATACACTACCAAATGTAAAATAGATAGCTAGTGGGAAGCAGCCACATAGCACAGGGAGATCAGTTCGGTGCTTTGTGACCACCTAGAGGGTGGGATAGGGAGGGTGGGAGGGAGGGAGACACAAGGGGGAAGAGATATGCGGATATATGTATATGTATAACTGATTCACTTTGTTATACAGCAGAAACTAACACACCATTGTAAAGCAATTATACTCCAATAAAGATGTAAAAAAAAAAAAGACAAAGCTGAAGGAGCTTTTTATTGTTTCCGAAAAAAGTTCCAAGCTGGGGACACCTACTTTCAGTTCCTGTGGGACACAGCGGTTGTATGTTTACAGAACGAAATTGAGAAACAACCTTTGTATTGACGATGGCTGATAAAAAACAAAATCCAGGTGGACAGTTCAGGCAGGAGTAGGAAGTTAGTTGTCAAGGTTATCCTTGTGTCCAGCCTAAAAGTTCATTAGTGGCAATGACATCTGGCTATTAAAATACTGTCCCAGGAGATTATTTCCTTCCTGTCTTTCCGGTCACACAGAATCTGCTGCTGGGTATAAATTATGGACAGAAGAACTCATTTGGAGAAATACTGACCCAGTCATACTTCACAGGTTTATTGCTACCCTGAGAGAAATGAACCTTGTGAAATTATAACCTCTGAACTACAACCAAGATCCTTCCAAAGGCAGACCTCTAGGGGACAGAGAAGGTTAAGGGTAGGGGAGGCTAAGGAGATGTGGATTCAGTGAGCAGACCAGTGGCTCTGACATCAAGGGAATGACTGTCACACTATTTCCCCAGCTCCATTCATCAAGCAGCTTTACTGTAGACACTCAAGTCTTCAGGGTAAGTGATTCCACCAAAACTGCATATAAAATGAGGTGAGAGTACATTTTCTATAACCTTCATCGGATTCTCAGAAGACCCCAGAAACTAAAACAACTAAGAACCACAGTGTGGAGGATTAAAGAAAGCTGCAAAGCCTTTGATACTCTATCCATGGGGAAGTGGGTCCTAGCTCCCCTCCCCTTGAATCTAAACTGAACGAGGGCTGCTTTCACCACCGGGACACTAAGGACAATGGGCCTCTAGCTCCCAGCTCAGCCTAGACAAGCAGCTTGTGCATGGGGGTTCTGGAGCCCTGAGACCACTGTCCATGATATGCTCAGGCCACATGCAGAAGGCCTGAGAGGATGAGATGCTGTATAGAGAGAGAGGCCAGGAAGCCCCAAGACCCCAGACATGAATGGAGAAACCATCTTTGAGTGTACCCTACAGCCCCAGCTGCTGCCATACTGATCAGAGATGAATCACCCAGCCTGGCCCTTCCAGAATTCCTGACCCACAAAATCAAGGACAAAATGAAATAGTGGTTCTTGGGACTTCCCTGGTGGCGCGGTGGTTAAGAATCCGCCTGCCAATGCAGGGGACGTGGGTTCGAGCCCTGGTCTGGGAAGATCCCACATGCCGTGGCAACGAAGAGTAGCCCCTGCTCTCCACAACTAGAGAAAGCCTGCACGCAGCAAGGAAGACCCAACACAGCCATAAATAAACTTTAAAAAAATGAAATAGTGGTTCTAAATCATGGAATTCAGGGATAACTTGTTTTAGAGCAAGAGATAAACATAACACACGTTTAAAGAGACTTAAGAAGGTCGCACATCACTCAGAACTTCTGGACAGTCTATAAAATTATACACTGAAACGTAATTCTAAGATAAAACTTTTGTGCTCCTATACAGTTTCTGCCCTTTGTGTTGCTTACCAATGAAGCTCTTAACAACTCCTTATCATTTAAAAACAAAAAAAACACAAAAACTTGCCAAAAGAAAAACATTTTAAAAAATCAGAACTCAGGGGGCTTCCCTGGTGGCGCAGTGGTTGAGAGTCCGCCTGCCGATGCAAGGGATGTGGGTTCATGCTCCGGTCCGGGAAGATCCCACATGCCGCGGAGCGGCTGGGCCCGTGAGCCATGGCCGCTGAGCCTGCGCGTCCGGAGCCTGTGCTCCGCGACGGGAGAGGCCACAACAATGAGAGGCCCGCGTACCGCAAAAAAAAAAAATCAGAACTCAGCATTTTCAATGCAAATGACCTTTGGTCTTACTTCATTTTCTTGACTTTCCATCCTGCCTGCTTTCTTTCCGGCCCTCCATGCAAATTCCTTGTATGTTCTGCTCAGCCTTGTTCTCTGCCCATCTTTCCCTTTGGTACCTCATTACCTTATTAGTTCATAGCCATGGTAAAATGGTTTTGCTCCCAAAGGACTTACAGATGAAGTTGTTTCCTGAATAACCTGTAGATGCTCCACTGCCTAATTGATTAGTTCTCATTTTATTTTTGCTAAAGATTGGTCCAGGTAACTTGCTCGACACAAAAGGCCAGAAAATCCTGATAATTTTACTTGTTTAAGTTTAGATCCTATTACTTCTCTATAATTTCATATGATGCTTTCCCTTCCCATCCCTTGAGACAAAAGGAAATGTTAACTGTGTAAGTCTCAACCTGGTTAAAGTGAATTCATATAATTTCCTCTCCTCTCATTTCCCTGGAATGAAAACTTAGGAATTCTCCTGACTTTGGGATCAACCTTAAGTACCATCCTACCAATTAAAACTCCAATCATGCTTCTATTTTAAACAGGATTTTCTAATTCTATGTAGCAATCAAAATGGGTTTCCCACCAATTTTTACCTTAGCCTACTGACTTTGGCATCGGCACCTTCCAGTTATTTTGAGGAGAGGAAGAGAAAGAGTCCTTACCTGACTGGTATTGTTGAATGTTTGCTTCATGCTCTCTGGATTTGGCAGGTTTTTACATGTCATTCTTTCTTTTGCCAGGTTCTTCAGAAATTCCTCCATTTCTGCAATTCCCTTGGTGAAAGAAAATATTTATTATTCCCTGTATGTTTAAGTCAAAAGGTGCTGATATACAAAATCTTTATTCCAAACTCAGGAAAAATTCCATTTATTTTCTTTCCAAGTTATTGTGGCAAAGGAAGTGTCCAAATATATTGAAATGGTTTGGTAAAATACCATACCTCAACATGAAGGAGTGTAAACGTTGAAATCCTCTAGAGAATTCTGGAAAATGTTTATGTTGTGTTAAATTAAAAACCATAATGCAAAATATATATGCATAATTACTGAAACAGTTTAAATATAAAAAAAGAATTTCAAGGTAATATACAAAAATTAAAAAACAATCGTGTCAGTTGAATTTTGACAAGGGTGCTGAAACAGTTCAATGGGGAAAGAGCACCCTTTGCAACAAACTGTAGTGAGACAACTGGACATGCGCATGTAAAGGATTGAAAATGGATTCCTACCTCTCATCAGACACAAAAATTAACTCAAAATGGACCCTAGGTAACAATGTAAGAGCCAGATCTATAAAACTCTTGGAAGAAAACATAGGAGCAAATCTTTGTGACCTGGACTTAGACAATGGTTTCTTGGTTTCTCGGGCAAAGCACAAGTCACAAGAGAAAAATAGATAAATCAGACTTAATCAAAATCAAAAACTTTTGTGCTGCAAACAATACCATCAAGAAAGTGAAAAGACAGCCCACAGAATGGCAGAAAATATTTGCAAAACAGGTATCTGATCAGGGATTTATGTTCAGAAAATATAAAGAATACTTACAAGTCAATAACAAAAAGACAAACAACCCGATTTAAAAATGGGTAAAGGATCTGAATAGATCCTCTTCCAAATGGTCAATAAGCAGGTGAAAAAAAGTGCTCAACCTCACTAATCATAAGGGAAACGCCAACGAAAACCACAGTGAGATGCTACCTCACATCCACTAGAATGGCTACCACCAAAAGGACAAAAAGTAACAAGCATACACAAGGATTAGGAGAAACTGGAGCCTTCATACATTGCGGGCAGATTTGTAAAATGGCACGGCCACTTTGGAAAATAGTTTGACAGTTTCTCCGCCTGTTAAACATAGAGCTTCCGTAGACGCAGAATTCCACTCCTGCATAGAAACCCAAGAGAAATTAAAACATTCGGCCACACAAAAAAGTTACTCCTAATGTTCACAACAGCACCGTTCGTAATAGCTAAAAAGTGAAAACTACCCACGTGTTCATCAACTGGTGAATGGATAAATAAAATATGATGCATCTACTCCATGCAATACTATTCAGCAACAAAAAAATATTAAATAACTGGTACATGCTACAACATAATAAACCTTTAAATCATTCTGATAAATGAAGGAAGCCAGTGACAGACCACATATTGTATGCTTTCATTTTCATGTAATGTCCAGAATATGAAAATCTGTAGAGGCAGAAAGTAGATCCGTGGTTGTCAAGGGTGGGAGGGGGGGGACAGGGGGAGAAATCAGGAGTGACCGCTAGTTTGAGAGTTAATAAAATGCTCTAAAATCAGACTGTGTGATAGTTGCCCAGTGTGAATATACTGTGATATATACTGTGAATACTAATATGCCATACTGTGAGCGCACTAAAAACCACTGGATTACACACTTTAAATGGGTGACGTTTATGGTACATGAACTAGATCTCAGTAAAGCTGTTTTTTACAAAGATGGATAGCTGCTTTTATAAAATGTTCTTTAAAATTTGTTTGTAAAATCGTATTTTTTTATTGAGGTAGAGTTGATTTACAATATTGTGTTAGTTTCAGGTGTGGAGCAAAGTGATTCAGTTATATACTTTTTTCAGATTATTTTCCATTATAGGTTATTACAAGATATTGAATATAGTTCCCTGTGCTATCTTTGCTGCTCGCCTATTTTATGTATAGTTGTTTGTATCTGTTAATCCCATGCTCCTAATTTATCCCTCTCCCCCTTTCCCCTTTGGTAACCATAAGTTTGTTTTCTATTTCTGTGAGTCTACTTCTGTTTTATAAACAAGTTCCTTTGTATTTTTTTTTTCAGATTCTACATATGAGTAATATCCTACGATATTTATCTTTCTCTGACTTACTTCACTTAGTATGATCACCTCTAGATCCATCCATGTTGCTGCAAATGGCCTTATTTTATTCTTTTTTATGGCTGAGTAGTATTCCATTGTATATATGGACCACATCTTCTCTATCCATTCATCTGTTGATGGACACTTAGGTTGCTTCCATGTCTTGGCTATTGTAAATAGTGCTGCTACGAATACTGGGGTGCATGTATTTTTTGAATTAGAGTTTTCTCCAGATATATGCCCAGGAGTGGGATTGTGGGATCATATGGTTATTCTATTTTTCGTTTTTTAAGGGGCCTCCATACTGTTCTCCATAGTGGCTGTACCAATTTACATTCCCATCAACAGTGTAGGAGGGTTCCCTTTTCTCCACACCCTCTCCAGCACTTATTATTTCTAGGCTTTTTGATGATGGCCATTCTGACTCATTTGAGGTGGTACCTCATTGTAGTTTTGATTTGATTTTCTCTAATAATTAGCAATGTTGAGCATCTTATCACGTGCCTATTGGCCATCTGTATGTTGAGTGACAGTGTTGATGGTTTTGTGAGACCTCACATGCTATCACTCTTCAGCTCACAGGCATAACACTGCAGTTATTTAGAGAGAGGAGAGAGGCCCAGCATCTCGTCACAGTAACCGTCACAGGTGGGCGGAGTGGCGGGATGGTCACCATGGGCAGCTGGGATGCACAGAATGATGGCATTTCTAAAGGAAATGGTCTACATGCAATTAAGGCCACCAGCAACTTTATCTATGACTTCGTTAGCTCTGAACCTCCTTTTGGATGATAGATCATAAACACACCTGTTTCAATATAATGAAATAATCCACTGGAAAAGTGTGGTCGCATGACAAGTCTGCGATTAGTACCAAGACAATAATTTTGCTTGGCCCCTTCAGCCAGCAGTAGACTTGCAGCCTATCACGGTTAACCTACTGGAGCTCTGGTAATTTTCTCTGTTTTTCCCTTTAGTTCTATGGTATCTGGTTTATATATCTCTGGTTCCTCCCTTATACGTTTTTCTTTGTTGCATCACAACAGACAGCTCAGCACAGAAGTAAAATAAATAAAATCTCAGATTCTGAAGATTCTCAAAGCTTAACAACAGACTAAGGAAGGAAACCAGGGTCGGGGGCAGGAAGGGAGCTGCATGGTGTCCAGCCTGGTTGAGCCACATACCCTGTCCTGACAGAAATGTCCAGGGACCAGAGGTACGTGACCAGAGGCCAAGGACCTCCCACTCTCAGGCTAATAGAATAAGACCTTAGAGGTCAACTTTTCCAACTCCTACCCTTTATAGATGAGGAAACCAGGGTCCAGGGAGATGTAGATGTTACTTACATAGCTAATTAGTGACAGAGTTAGTACTAGAATCTGCTCTTGGCCTTACGTTGTGTTGTTATGGGGTGAAATTGTCTTTCCCTAAAAAGGGTCATGCTGAAGTTACAAGCCCCCAGTACCTCAGAACATGACCTTGTTTGGAAACTGGGTGATCACAAGTGTACTTCGTTGAGGTCATCCTGGACTAGGGTGGCCGCTAACCCAATGTAACTGGTCCTCCGGAGAAGACGAAGACACGGGGAGAGAACCACGTGAAGACGGGGGCAAGGACTGCAGTTAGGCAGGCGCAAGCCAGCGTCGGGGACTGCTGACAGGACTCTGGCAAGGTCCTCCAGAGCTGGAAAGAGGCAAGGAAGGGCTCTCATGCAGCTTTCGGGGGAGTGTGGTCCTGCCAGCACTTTGATTTCAGACTTCCAGCCTCCAGAACCCGGAGACAATAAGTTTCTGGGGTTTGAAGCCACCCAGTTTGTGGTGCTTTGTTACAGTAGCCCTGGGAAACTAACACACACGCCCTTAGGAAAATGTCTGTTCCCAGCACCTCTCTCACACGGAGCCCTGGCTGTGATCGGGAGCCTTACTAAGGGGCCGCTGCTGAGCAGCTAATCCTGTTTGATGGTCACAGAGATGGCAGGAATCCTACCCTACCTCCTCAGCCACTGTCCCCATAGCTGTACACTCACCTTCAGACACCAAGCGCAAAAGGCCACATTTCCTCGTTCCTTTGTGCCACGTTTCATGCTGCATCAGGACCAGAGGAAGAGGAGTCACCATAGCGCCTGTTAAGGGATAAGAAAAATATTCTTGATGCCGAAACATCTCCCTTACCGTTCCCGACAGCATATCATCAGACAGTAAACCCTGAAGGATCAGCACCGAGCTCCCCAGACTCTTCCCAACACAGATGGACCCGGGAAAGGCCATGAACACTGTCCCCAGCACCTCTGTGTGGAAGAGTCCAACTCAGATGGAAGAAATGCACACACAGGGCAGCTCAGAATGTGGGCAGCTGGGTGCGGTGGGAAGAGCCTAAGCCTTGGAGACACAGGAACTCCAGCTGGAATCGGGCTCTGCTGTGGCCCCTGGGAAAGATACCTTCCTTCTCTAAGTTTCATTATCTATAGATAAAGGTACTAATACCCACCTTGCTGGGTTCATGTAATGCACATAGATAAAGTATTTAAAACAAGTAGGCTATTTAGATATACAATAAATGAATGTGGTTTTGTTGATATTTTCATTATTATTATTTTATTAAATCCCAGTCCTGGAGAAAGACCTTGATGGAAAATCTGTGTCTTCTTAACTCTTCTCCATCCTATACTGGAAGCAGGAGACAAAAAACAAGGGTCCCCATTTCACTCTGGCTTTATCTGTCCTAGCAGAGTGGACAGATTCACGGGGCCATTGGGATAGGGGCTCACGCCCATCTGAATACCTGGCACTAAGCAGAGTGTTTGATTCCTCGGGAACACAATCAAACAGTAATTTAAAATGGGCAAATTAAGGCTTCCCTGGTGGCGCAGTGGTTGAGGGTCTGCCCGCCGATGCGAGGGACGCGGGTTCGTGCCCCGGTCCGGGAGGATCCCGCATGCCGCGGAGCGGCTGGGCCCGTGAGCCATGGCCGCTGAGCCTGCGCGTCCGGAGCCTGTGCTCTGCGGCGGAAGGGGCCACAGCAGTGAGAGGCCCGCATACTGCAAAAAAAAAATGGGCAAGTTAAAGATTCTTGTCCTAAAACACTGATTACTTTCGCTATTAACGAGCACCAAGTATACACTTCATCTAAGTTCACCCGGACTCAATGCAAAAACTATGTCGTCTTTCACTAGAGTTTTCCAAAACCAATGTTGCATTAATGACACTTTGCTTTAATCAAATTTTATAATAAGTCCAAGTTCTTTGGATGTTGGAGACTAGGTATGGAATACTCATGCTTTCTGGATTTTTCTCTTGCTCTAAATTTGCATTCACAGGCTTCCAGATGTTCATTCTCTCCCACAGAAGCTCAGCTGGCCTCAGTTTTTAAATCTGAGATTTTCAAAGAGGATGCTATGCACACACACAAATTTGTGATAACTGGATCAAATGAGTCCAGGGGTCTTATTCCCCTTGAGTATCTTTCTTTCTTGTTTCAATGTGCAGCCTTAAGACGAGCATCTTTTGCTGTATTCGTACTCTCATATGTCAGTCATGTCAATTTCCTGACTTTAACACGCTCATCACCGTTATTTGAGGACTGTGAGAGACAAAAAACCCTGCTGTGTTCTTCCTCTCGCTTTCCACAAGAGCGGCCTAAAAAACCCCGTGCCTTGACTGCCATCTAGAGAAGGCTGGAGATACTGAAATTAAACAAGCTAATCTAGTATCTTCATAGGTTTACTTTTCTCTAACCCTTTGACGAAAAACCATAAGGAAAAGTCTTTTAAACAAGACATGAAGAAAATATTTAAATGTTATATTGTGGCTTGGGACAGTGTCATTCACCTGTTTTTTACAAAAATATATGCAGCAACTGTATTGTTCCCAGGGAGAAATGATACTATTAGTGAGAGCCATCTGCTGGCCTTTGAACTTATTTTATGGAGTCCTTGTGGAAATATACATCAAGGTAATGCAATTATTGTATCTGCACATTTGTGATGCTGTAATTAAAACTGGGAGGTTGTTCTCATTAAATTCTCCAGATTGTTGGTGGCTTCTTTCCTGCTGGCATATGAATTTTCATCTTAAAACAGACTCCAGACCTCTCTATGCTGTTCCTATCATATTAATACTGATATCACCAGACAAAAAAAACTTATCCAGCTTTGTAAAATGTCTTTTGAGCAACTGTATCATGAAATGGCTTTAAGAAAACTTAAAGGTATGGGGAATTTAAAAATGATTTTGTCGGGCTTCCCTGGTGGCGCAGTGGTCGAGAGTCTGCCTGCCGATGCAGGGGACAGGGGTTCGTGCCCTGGTCCGGGAAGATCCCACGTGCCGCGGAACGGCTGGGCCCGTGAGCCATGGTCGCTGAGCCTGCGTGTCCGGAGCCTGTGCTCCGCAACGGGAGAGGCCACATTTTTGCCAAAGTTTCCTCTGTTCATATACAACAAATCTGTTGATTTTCTGTGGGCTTCTATTACCTAGAAATCTAAAGAATTGGTGGTGTGCCTTTTCTTTTACATTACCCTAGGAAACAGCTGTTATTCTAGTGCCAAGAAGTCAACACTTGAGCTTACTGAAATTCTCAACCATTTTCACAACAGGATTGTTATTTGTCACAGCTTGCAAATAATGGTGACGGGAGTGTTAACGTCAGGAAATTGGCAAACTGAAATGTAATATGATGAGTTACAGTGAATGACGCCCACCTGAAGGCTACACAATGAAACAAGAAGGAAAGAAACATGAAGAGTCCACAGAGTATTAATTTAAAAGCCACAGACTAAATTTTGATCCCATTCCACGTTGCCAGGTATCACCTTTTTGTGTGTGCCGCATCCTCTTTGAAGATTTCAGATTTAAAAACTGAGACCAATTGAGTTTCTGTGAAAGAAAATGTGATTTGGAAGCCTATGGATGCAAATTCAGGGCAACAGAAAGTCCAGAAAGTATGACTACTCCATTCTTAGTCTTCTATATTCAAAGGACTTTGACTTATTTCAAAATATGACTAAAGTGTCATTAATGCAATATTGGTTTTGCAAAGCTCTAGTGCAATACAACGTATTTTAGGATTGCGTCCAGGTAAATATAGATGAAGGCTGGATGCTCCCAACTGGGGCCAGGAAACTTTTTCTTGAAGGTCAGGCAGTAAACATTTTTTTACTTTCCACACCACAGAGTCACGATCTCCACTGTAGCATAAGAGCGGCCAGGGACAGTATGTCAACAAATGAGTGTGGCCGTGTCCCAGGAAAGCTCTACTTATAAAAACAGGCCAGCCCCTGTGTCAGAACAGGATCTTGGGTTTGCCCAATGGAAATGACTCTCAGATGGCAGAGCCTGGAATCATTAGCTACTCAAGTGTCCAAGGGGTCAAAACTTCACGTAGGAGCCTAAGCCCAGCTGACACCAGCTCCAACCTCCTGGAACTAGTGCCTTTTTTTTTTTTCCATATAACTGGTACATCTTCTACAATAGGGGTCCCCAACCCCTGGGCCACAGACCGGTACCGGTCCACAGCCTGTTAGTAACCGGGCTGCACAGCAAGAGGCGAGCGGCCAGCGAGTGAGCGAAGCTTCATCTGCCGCTCCCCGTTGCTCCCTATCGCTCGCATTACCGCCTGAACTACCCAACCCACACAAACCTCCCCCGGGTCCGCGGAGAAACTGTCTTCCACGAAACCGGTCCCTGGTGCCAAAAAGGTTGGGGACCACTGTTCTACAACATCAAACTTAAAATACTCTCAAGAATAATAACTTTTTCTCAGGTAGTGAAGAATTCAACACATAAACTCAGGCAGACACACACACACGGTTTCCTCAGGTTAATAATGGAAGCAGAAGGCGAAAGACAAGCAAACTGGGGGTAGATGAATTTTTATGTATTTTGTGTGTCTTGACGCCTGTTTTAGATTGCCATGTCACCCTAGGATGAGATTCTACAGGAGGTATCAGATGCATTTTCATTTTAAAATGTAGCTTCTATTTCATGATTGGTATTCTCCTAAAAGTCATGCCTGTAAAAAGGACCACGGGAAAGAATCTTCGCTGTAAAAATCTAAAACATAGCTGTACTGCACGGGGAATTTCCATGTAATTCTGTGTCCTTGCATCTGAAGAGCTATTGATATTAGATGGAGCACATTGGAAGAGGCGAGCTGTGGAGAAATAGAAATCCAGCAGAGTCTGAGATGTTCTAATCAAGCACGAATGTTTTTCCACTTTTTTCAGTCTATTTCACCATCTCAAGGAGAATGTTTGATCTCCATTTTGATACATTATCATTTTCACCTTTAGTTTTCCGAGTACTCTTTTTGTAATGACTTCCTCGCCCACAAAGACACATGACCATGAACTCCCATAATCATTCACTGCCCTCGTGCTTTTTTTCCTTCTGCCTGTGAGTGGCCCATGCAGGGGACAGACAGAGCATGGACTGGAAAGACAGACCTGAGTTGAAATCACTGCTTCTACTCACTCTGGCCCCGAGACCCTGGGGATGCTACTCAACCACTCTGAGACCCAGTCTCCTCCAGGTATATTGCAGTACTGTTGTCACGATTAAAAGAGGACATCTGTGAGGGGTCTTGCACGTCGCTCAGTAAATGTTAGTTCATCTCTTCTCTCTCTCCCCGCCCCTTCTCTAAGACGCAGACCGCGAAGTCGGGAACTGATTCAGCCACATCCCACCTCCCTACAGTGCCTGCCGCTGGGTTAGACACAGGGGCTGCATATGTGTTTCTGGAATGAGCAGTGGGTTCCCACGTTTTCCTTTGTTATTGAAGATCTTACCTTTTTTTTTTTTGCAATACACGGGCCTCTCACTGCTGCAGCCTGTCCCGCTGCGGAGCAGGACGCGCAGGCTCAGCGGCCATGGCTCATGGGCCCAGCCGCTCCGCGGCATAGTGAGATCTTCCCGGACTGGGGCACGAACCTGCGTCCCCTGCATTGGCAGGCGGACTCTCAACCACTGTGCCACCAGGGAAGCCCGAAGATCTTACCTTTTAAAATTGCTATGAGGATGAGCCAAACGTGTTCTCTGAGTCATGAAAAGGTTTCATAAATTAAAAAAACAGAAGAACCCACTCATGTTAACATATACACACTACTATGTACAGAATAGATAACCAATA